TTATAAGAGCAGTCATTATCACAAATAAGAGAAAGAAAACAGAAATAATCAGGATGTGCACAATGTGTGCGGTTCTGAAGAAAATATATTATTTTATTCTATTTTAGTATTTTTAGGACATCAATAAAAATCACAATTTATGTTGTCATGTTTGAAAAGAAGCAGGTAGAGGTGTGGACATTTGCAGTGGTCCCTAATAGGAATGAATAACTTGTAAGTCGTCCTCTGGAGAGAAAAAAAAGCTCTGGCGCACCTGTATCGGCACGGATATTTCAGGAGAAAGTAGCAGAACACGGCAGGATTTGGAATCGTATTTCCTGATATTTTTACATCTCGCTTCTGATTGGCTAACAGCAACGTGACTTTATCTCTGACTCTGTTTGCTTATCTCCACAAATAACACAAGCCTGAAGAAGTTCTGCCATGTGGTGGAGTTGCTAATGCTAACGGTTAGCCTCTTCTAGCCGAGACATTGTTTCCTGGATGGTGAAACAAGAACAGCCTTGCCCGTTGCGAGTCAAGATGGGTGAGACCATGAATGTTAAGTGATAGTGTGACGTAGATCTGTCAGGATTTCCTAATCCTAGAGTTTCACCGTCTGTTTGACCTAAATGGTCGATCACACCCGTTTGGAATCCAGCCGCAGGTCGAAGCTCTTGCTTCAGAAAATAAACTTCAGAAAAAGAAATTAGTAGAAGAAGAAATAATTTTCTTAATGATTTTTATCTTGTGATATTAGAAAGTTTCCTGCTTCACCTGTTAAATTTTCATCCTATTGATTTTGTAGAAGATGAATTTTTAAACAAAGCTGCAACGTGTTAAAAGTTTAAAAAAAATTCCGTTAACGGTCACATGTGGAGACAATTAAAATACAAGGAAATTCTCATTGGTCTTCACGCCTCTCCTCTGCTCACTAAATCACTACTTCATTTCTTTTTTTACAGCAGTAGAGTGTGTGAGGAGTGTGAGATGTATCATTTCCCAGTCCCACGAGCAGTTCTCACGACGAGTAAAACAGCAACTCATGTCAGGTGAATTCACCACACAAGATTATCACGCTTGTTCAGTAGAATCTATTTTTCTTCTTAATGTGCAGAAAAAGCTGCAGACTGGAGCTGCTTTGATGTGATTATACTGGTTTTTGATTTAACTGTCAGTAGAGGGCTCCCATGATCCATCTGCAAAGGCCCTGACCTCTGCTGTAGTGAGTGTGTTTAATGACACACACCAACGTGCTTCCATATTGACCCGAGCCTTTCACTCCGTTATTTTCCAAACCAAACAGCGGTGGAACCATTTACCTCCTCACGCTCTCAGACATGTGCATCTGTGTGTTTTGTTCCGTTGATTTCCTCCCTGCTCCATCAGAAACATGGTTCTCCCTCTTCACTAGAGTCACTGTTGAAAACGGTTTTTGCCATACCCTCTCAGCTACACCCTGGCCTCTTCTGGGTGAAATAATTCATCATCTGAAAAATGCAAAGATGCTCTTTGGGGTGATGGAAGATGTCAGCCGTATTAAGACTTCATTTGAAAAGATAATTCATGTTGATTAGAAGTTTTTAAAGTGTCCATCTGCACAGAAATGGGAAAACAACAAGCTGCTCCTCATGAACCTGCATGTCCCTAGAAAAAGTTCTCTTGGCAGGCTTTGAGTTATCTGCACTCACCCCTGCCTAAATTGCTCAAATCTGTTAGAAGTTGATCAAACGGAAAGTTTTTTTTTTTTTTTTAGAGCACACAGCCGACGGAGCTTCCTCTGTGGGCTGCTGGGGATCAGACATGAAAACAGGCAAAGAACAAAGGCTCGTTCAGTGTTAAAGATGCCCGGACCACTGCAGCTCTTCACAGTTGATCCAGAAAGAGGCACAAATACCTGCCAACTGCAAATGGATCTCACAAATGTAAACATGCTGTTTGTATGGCGTGGTATGGGGGCCAAAACTAAGACTACTGCCCAGCAGCAGGAGGCTATATAAATTCTGAAGCAAACTACCGACCTGATCAATGATAAGCTGGTGCCAGTAACTGAGAGGCTGGCGCTGCTTACTGAGAAATAGCACCTTTACTGGTGTTATTACTAGATATGCTAGGGACTAGCAGCCCTTTCACCACCAATCTATTAGCATCTAGCCTAGCTGCAACTCTATCCACTTCCCAACCTGATTCCAACTGTGTAGGAGGAGCTGCTGACCTCTTTCAACTCTACCTGCTCAACTGTTTTAAATGCAGTCGCTCCTCTAAAATCCAGGCACAAAAAAACTGTAGCAGACTCTTGGCTCACTGAGGACACTTGTGCCCTAAGACGCCAATGTAGGGTCTGCGAACGCCGGTGGCGGAAGGACAAGCTGCAAATCTCCTACCAATTATTCAAGGATTATTTGACCTGCTATCAGAAAGCTGTCCGCACAGCTAGAAACAGATATTTTGCAAATATAATCACTAGGAATAAAAACGACCAGAAGAAACTATACAGTGTCCTCACCTCTGTACTATTCCTTAGAGAATCTCCCAACTCTTCTCCCTCTACAGGGGCTCTTTGCAATGAGATTCAAAACTTTTTCCTGCATAAAATTCAGGAAATTAGAACCAGTTTCTCTTACTCAGGCTGGGTTACCTGTGTGGAACCTCACTGTCCACCCTAATTCTCTTGCTTTGCTCATGTGACACCCTCTTCCCTGGTTGATCTAATCTTGGCTATGAAGCCCTCAGGCTCTCCAGAGGATAGCCTTCCTCCAAGACTGCTGCGCGATGTCCTTCCAGCGGTGGCCCCTGCTGTTCTGGATATTGTCAATTCCAGCTTCTCCTCTGGTGTGTTTCCAGCTGCTTTTAAAAATGCAGTTGTTCAGCCGCTATTGAAGAAACCAGGCCTTGACCAGTCTGACTGTGCCAATTATCGCCCAATCTCAAAACTTCCATTCATCTCAAAAGTAGTTGAGAAACTGGCTCTCACGCAGCTTACTTCTCACCTAGATGACAATGGGCTTCTTGACCCATTCCAATCAGGTTTTAGACGTAATTACAGCACAGAATCTGCACACATTAGGGCATTCAATGACATCTTGATTCTGACTGACTCTGGCTCCCATGTGCTGTTACTCTTACTCCACCTGACTCCACCTGACTGCAGCATTCAGCACTGTAGACCTCACCATCCTACTTCACAGACTTGAATTTTGGGTGGGTGTGACCAGTACTGCCCTCAAATGGTTTAAGTCGTACCTTAATGTTCGGTGTTTTAGTGTTCATGTTGGAGACTGCCCTTCTCCCAATGTCCCACTTCCATGGGGAGTACCACAGGGCTCCATCCTGGGTCCTGTCCTCTTTTCAATTTACATACTACCACTTGGTAAGATTTTAGCAAGTCTCTGGGTTAACTACCACTTTTATGCAGATGATTGCCAGATCTACCTTCAAATCAACCAACAGCACTCATTTTCTATAATGTCAGAATGCCTCTCCCAGGTCATATCCTGGCTTTCTCAAAACTGCCTGCGGTTAAATGACATCAAATCAGATGCCATACTTTTTAGCCCCACTAACATGAATGGTGCTTTTGATGTCTCAACTCTCCCACTCAATCTCAAATCATGTGCCGCTAGCCTAGGTGTGTGCCTTCTCTTATGCAGCCCCAAAACTCTGGAACTCTTTGCCCCTCCGTGTGTGTCTGGCTCCCTCTGTTCGCAGTTTCAAGTCGGCCCCGAAAACGCACTTCTTTAGCATTGCCTTTGCTCCTTGACACTTTTCATGACAATCTAGCACCGGATTTGAGTTTTTAATTCCATTTTTATGATTTAGTTGCTCACTTTTGGCACCTCGTACCATCTGGTATTTTATTTCGTTTTATTTGTGCCATTTGAAATGTTTTTATTATTCGTTGCATTATTTTATTTTTATAGTGCTGTTAACTGTTCTCCTATTTTATTGTTTTTAGCAGGAATTTTTATCTCTGACTATTTATGCTTTGTTCTTATGTATTTTCCCAGTTCGCATTGTGCTTCTAGTTCAAGCATTTGGCTTTTTTATGTACAGCACTTTGGTTAGCTGCCATGCTATTTTGAAATGGTGCTTTATAAATAAATATGGTATGGTATGGTATGGTCATTGACTGGTTCACACACCCCCTCTGCTGTCTATTAGCATGGATATGCTAGCTTTGCCTGGACGGGATGGTGTTAGCATCGGAGAGACTAGCCATTAGCGTGCCTAGGCTGGCCACTAGCTGACTAGTGACTCTCTGAGACAAGCTAATGGCTAGCCTCTCTGATGCTAATGCCAGCCTATCCAGGCAAAGCTAGCCTATCCATGCTTAAGGTCCGTCAAGGGGATAGGGAATCCAGCTAGTGGCCAGCCTAGGCACGCTAAAGGAGTGTTTGAACCAGTCAATGACCAGCCGAGGGCTGCTAGTCCGTAGCGTATCTAGTAATAACGCCAGTAAAGGTGCTATTTCTCAGTAAGCAGCGCCAGCCTCTCAGTTACCGGTGCCAGCTTATCATTAATCAGGTCGGTAGTTTGCTTCGAAATTTATATAGCCTCCTGCTGCTGGGCAGTAGTCTTAATTTTGGCCCCCATACCGCGCCATAGTTTTGTCTCTTAGATTAAAGTGTCAAAACGGGGAGATTCTTGCACAGGATGTGCTTATGCTTCACTTTATCAGTTTTATTTTTTTAAAGAAAACAATATGTCATCTCTGAAAGACAGGCATCACAAATATTTAGGTGTTTTAAATGATTTATGCTGTTTCAGCACAAAAGGAAATGGGAATTTAGTAGCTGTAGCTGCAGTGAAGGTGTAAATACATCATCTTATATCAGCAGTTTTTACAATATTACAAAAAAGCTATTTGCATGCAGGTCTTGCAATAAAGTTGCCATGAAAATACTTTTTGGGTAAAGCACTGTTGGCTATCTTTGTTTGTTATCAGAACATGTAAAAAAAGACTATAAATAATACATAAATGCATATGAAAGGGAATACTTGAACACAAAGTGAAGCATTACCTTACATTAAATGAGAGCAAAACGGAAGTCATAATCTTAGTCCTGGCAGAAGAAATGGCTCAGGTGCTGATTTTGACCTTGGCCCATTGACCCCCTATGAAAAGAAAATAGCCAGTAATTTGGGGATAAAAATTGACTCCTCACTTAATCTTGACATTCACGTAAATGCGGTGGTGAGGTACTGTTTTATTTTTTTTATCTGAAATGACTATCCAGGATCAGGCCTCTGCTGTCCAGAGCTCATCTGGAGTCTGTGTTGCATGCTTTCGTCCTGTCCCATCTGGACTACCGTAACACTCTGTATGCTGGTCTGGCCCAGTGCATGGTTGCACGGCTCCAATTTGTACAGAACTCAGTGGCTAGGTTCCTGACAGGTACTAGATGCCGAGATCACATTACTCCAGTGCTGGTTACTCTGCACTGGCTCCCGGTGGAATATCGAGCTAAATTTAATATCTTAACTCTTGCTTATAAGGCTCTCCAGAGCAGTGCCCCCTCTTACATTACTGCACTTTTGCACAAGTATGCTCCATCTCGGTCTCTTTGCTCAGCCGAGCAGGGACGTCTGGTGGTCCCCCAGTCGAAATATCGATCGAGAGGTTATCGTGTATTTTCTGTTTTGGCTCCAACTCTGTGGAATGAATTGCCATTGAGCATCAGGCAGGCACCGTCCCTTCAAGTCTTTAAGTCTTGTCTAAAGACTCATTTTTATTTGATTGCTTTTCAGCGCTAGGGTTCATTGAAATGCCCTGACATTATGGTTTTTAATACTTCCTCTTTTTGATCAGGATGATTGATCTTATTTTGTCCACCATTTGTTTTTAATTGATTAATCTTATTCCATTATCTCTCTGTATTTGTGATATTGCTTGCTTGTTATTTTATGATTTTATGTTTTTATCTTGCTTTTATGCCCAGGTACTGGGAATGTTTTTATGATGATGCTGTTCAGCACATTTGGCTTCTGATAAAGTTGCAGAAGGTGCTCTACAAATAAAATCGATTGATTGATTGATTGATTGATTAGAATTAGATTAATATCATTTTGCTATTATAATTTTACCTCTGTTGTTTTAACTTGGGAAAAATTACAAATGTTGTGTGTTCTTTTCTCTGTGGGGAAGTGAAAGAGTTAATAAGATCAAATTCAGACACAAAAAGTGCCTTTAATGGCAGATTTCCTGACATGCTAAATGCTCTGACATCTTTCTGTAGCGTTATGTGCAAATATGAAACCTTTACATGATGCAAAGGCTTAGATTTGCATTGATTTTTAAACCAAAAGGGAACAAATTATATTACCGTGATAATAATAGGCTTTATGAACATCTTTTTGAGTTTGCTGAACTTATAATTAAACATTTCAAGGCAAAGGCAGTGGCTACTCCCCAGATGATTACAGCTATAATAAATATGAAACTTACCATTTTCCCATTCAGGATATAGAAAAGCAGCAGTTCTACAGAAGTTCTGCCATTTTTAACTTGTTTACTCTAGTTTGCAATAGTAGTGTCACTCACTTTCTACACTGAGAAGCTCCTCACAACTCGCACTGAATCAAACAAGTCCTGCATGATGCTACAACCTCCAACCCAGTGACAGTCTCATTTCCACCCATCAAAAATAAAAAAAAGCTCAGTGAAGACGGTGAGAGGAAGGAGATTGGACATTTGTCAGAAACATGCTTTTTTTCTTCTTTCTTTATCCTAAGGATATCCTTCACTTTAACTGAATTTTCTTTTGAAACACACACACACACACACACACACACACACACACACACACCATAGAGCGTTGCTCTTTTTTAGCTCTTTGATTGCTACGATCTCAGAGCTGCACACAGTCAGAAAAAACAAGCAGTTAGTGACGATGCTCTTTGTAGATAATCATCAAATCAGTAAACGATGTAAGAAACACGATTAAAGAAGCAGGTAAAAATCACACATTCCTGTTTTGGATGTGTTTGGGGCTTTAGGAGGAGAGCAGTCACCCAGGAGGGCACGTGCACAAGCACAGAGACTCATCGCCTGGAGTCCAATGACGTCAGCTGCAGAGGCTGATGGGAATTCAATACCCATCCTCCACACCGCCTAATATGTTCTACTATAAAAAACGGCCGCTGCTTGTTTGTCTGCCACACTGGTAGCTTGGGCCAATAAATGTTTCCACAAATTCTTTAGTTAAAGAGGGACTGAGTAGAAGTTTCATTGCTGCTTTTTTGGGTTTATTTGCATGATAGAAAATTGTCTCGAACAAAGAATAGAGAAGCAGTTTGAGCCTCTAAGAACCATCTTCCTTATTCTGGAGAGTTTTGTCTTCATATTTGAAAACAACCTCTTTTAAGAAACAATCACATCACCATAAAGAGAGCCCCTGCAATAATGACTTCTTAAATTACAAAGAATGTTCTTAGCTTAACCCTTACAACCTGGGTACCGTTTAAAGACGTGGCTCACTCGTTTAATCTCAACATTGGCAGTGGTCCCTAGTAAGGACGAATGCTTTGTAAGTCATGCTCTGGAAAAAAGCTAGATGTCCTGTTTCAGGAAGGACAAATCAGCTGGAGAGGAGAGAAGCTTCAGTCAGCAGGAGCTGGAGTCTTATTTCCTGATATTTGGACAACTAGCCTCTGATTGGCTAACAGCAGGGATGGACTGGGACCAAAATTCGACCCTGGCATTTTTGCGAATCGTCGGCCCTTCCCATTGGGAGAGTGGTGGGGGTGGGGGTTTGCCGCCCGCAGGCTTGTCTCTAGGCTGAATGTGAGATCTAATATGGGCTGGGACTGTTAAATTACAAGCAGGACCAGACCGCTGCAAACGGGAGCCCTGGCCTTCCAGATCTTCTCATTCTCCACGGGCAGGACATTAGCTACATGCTAACGCGGTAAAACAACTCCTACGTCATCACTCTACCACATTTTTCTTGCTAACGCCTGGAAAAACTCTGTTAGCTTTGGGTTACCATGTAGCTAATGTTCTGCAGATCACCAACTGTGTAGTGTCGGCCCAAGCTGGGCAAGCAGCCCACTTGGCTGAGCGGCCCACCAAAACGGTGCCAGATAGGCCAGTCCACCCCTGGCTAACAGCAATGCGACTCCACCACTGACACTGTTTGCTCTGCAACATTGATGCTTCATCTCCACAAGTAACACAAGCCTGGAGGAGTTCTGCTGCGTGGTGGAGAAGCTAATGCAGGGGATAATTGTAGGAGACTATTTTCATGTTCAGCCTGCATGACAAACTCAGAGCAACTGATTACAATCAGAAATAATCATTATGGGTTTTCTGTGAACCACACCTTTAAAATTTCTTGTCAGTTATTATAAATATGAGTCAAAAGTCAGATTTACTGAATTCAAAAGGGGGTTGCTGCATCATCATTCTGTTAAAAATCTCAAAATCTCCAGTTCACACTGACGCAGCAAAAACTGTTGAGTATAATAATTAAAATGCTTTCTAAAAATCAGTTTTCTCACTAACATTTCTGCTTGTGTGCTGAATGGGAGTGCACAAACAGCAGAAAATAGGGATGAAAACATATCAAATTTTTATATTTTTGTAATGTTACTGAATCGAGCCAGAGCGCCACACTTTGCCTCCAGTAAAGGCCTCAGAGTTGCATCCAAACCACCATCGCACTGCCTCTGGGATGACATTCCCATCCGTAATCCAAAATGAAAAACTCTAAAAGTCAGATTGCGTGTGGGGGCACTGTTGCAATCGTCTTCATCCATCTGCAAAATAACAAAAGAAGAAACAAACCTCCAGCGTTATTTATCTGCCCATCAGTGCGCTGATAATGTTTGTAACAAAGCCCACATATAAATAAGGAAGCCCGTTTTGCCGCATGGACAAATCCAATCATTTCCAGTGACAAAATAAAGGAAAAGCAACTGAGCTGCTGTGCAAATGCCAGCAGCCCTTCTGTGACATGAGCTGCGCTCAGCTGTAGGGTTGTGCAGGGAGGAGTGTGTGCGATTTAGGGGGAGCGGCTTTTGCCCCGCAGTCCCAGCCTCTAGGCATGAAACGTAACCTTTCAACTTGCAACTGGGCATTGCAACAGTCATAGGAGACATCGCTTCCTCGTGCATGTGCACGGCAGAGAGCGGCAGGACCGCTGCCTCCACTGACACCGTCTTTTACTTCATTCTGTAGCAAACAGGTCATTGCAGTTAAGGTAGCTCCGCTCCGTGCGTGCAGAGGGTCCAAACCTGACACACACTTGATTTTATGTGCAGAACTGCTTTTTGCTGTGAAGACAATGTTAGACAGTAAAACATTTATAGAGGTACTGTCGAGAGCAGGGATGCAGCATCATTGGCTCTTCTTAAGGCAACGATTCTACTTTGGGCAGAAACACAAGAAAAAGAGTCGTGAATTTAGCCCTGTGAAGAGGTAAAGTGTAACAAATGACCTTTAAAGTTCTTTAATCTTGGATTTATGCACCTGAATTTAACAGTAAACTGCAACTGGTCCAGAATTCAGCAGCCCGTATTATCACCAGAACCCCTTCCTTTCACCACATCACCCCGGTTCTCCAGCAGTTTCACTGGCTCCCAGTTACATTCAGATCCATCTTCAAAATTCTCCTCCATACCTTCAAAGCCATCCACAACCTCTCTCCTCCATATATCTCTGACCTTATAAGTATCAACACCCCCTCCCGTTCTCTCAGATCTTCTTCTTCCATCCATCTTGCTGTTCCTTCTGCCCGTCTCACTACCATGGGGAGCAGAGCTTTCAGCCGCTCTGCTCCCCGTTTCTGGAACTCACTCCCCCCAGACATCAGGAACATTGACAGTTTCAAAAAATGCCTCAAAACACACACGTTTAAATCTGCCTATGACCTCTGATTTTACTGAACTGTTTCTCTCTTTGTTTTTTCTTCTTTGCGTTTTATTGTGGTTTTATTGCTGTTTTAATGTATTTTCTGAACTTATTTTCTGTCAAGTGACCTTGGGTGTTCTGAAAGACGCTTTTATATCAAATGTATTATTATTATTATTATAGTGAAGAGGGTTCAACCTCCTGCAGCGATGCTGTTT